GTACACAGATAGGAGATGATTTTGAGCAAAACCACAACTGCCACTGTGTAACGCAAGTTTAATCACCATTAGCTGTTCCGCAGATGCACCCCCTCGGCTCTCCCAAGAACTCCACCCTCCATCTTCCTCTTGCCCCTGGAAGCACCATGGTCCAACCGTGGGTCACCACATCGGGGACGGCAACATGCCATTGGATTATCTGGATGTCCTCGTTTGCAACAGGGGTAATGATGGAGTCAAGGTTTATCCAAGGATCCTGTCCTTGGAGTTTCAAAATAGGAACTGGAATTCCCTCCGGGTGTATAGTGCAATTGAATTTAGCTTGGCATTCAGGTGTGCTGGCCCTCCATGGTCACAGAATCGTAGAATGGTTTAGGTTGGAAGGGACCTTGAAGATCATTGAGTTCCAACCCCCAAGTTCTCTGGTTCCACTACAGAGGACACCATCCTCTGAGGAAGATGAGCTGCCGGAGAACTCTGGAGACAAAGATATGGGCTTGTTGGCAGGGTAGGGAACATGGGATCCGCAGGGCCAGTCAAAATCCCACAAATGTGCCATTCTTTATTGTTTGGCTGTTTGATTCTTGCCGATTGCCATGCACTTCTCCCTCACAGCTTGCCTCAAAACAACCCCCATTCTGTCACCTATGTGAAAGTGACGTTTTAATGATAAGCTCTGCCCAGAGTATGATCAGCACAAGCAGTGATCTAATGGTGCCCGTGTGGGCCCTGCAGAAGGCACTGACAGCAGTGGCTGAAGCAGACAGTGTGCTGCTGCTCTGCCTCTGGCACACAGCTGCTGAACAAAGCTGAAACACCTTTCTCCCCTCACCTCCTCAACAGCTTGGAAAGGCCAGGAATGGAAACCAGCCCTCCTGGTGGTGGCCCTGCACCCTGGAAGAGCCTTCCCGCCCTCCCAGCCCCTGAGGACATGGTTTGGGCAGGTGGTTCCCCCTCAGCCCACCTTGATCCTGTGAGGGGATCTGCTCCAAGTACAGCAACATGACAGAGCCCAAACCGTGACTGCTGAGGACACAGAGCAGGACTGCCGACTTCCAAGTACTGATTTCATCCCACCTGGCCACAAGGCCTGCCTAGCAGCATGCTGTGGAACCATCCCGCACCTCTGTGCCTCAGTGTCCAAAGCCCTGTCAGATACTACACCCTCTCTGCCCCAGACAGGCAGCCCTCTATCCAAATACAGATTTCTTCGAACTACAGACAGTAACTCTTATTTTTTAGAGGTATGGGGCACCAATAGATCCTGCTGATTTCAAATGGAGAAAAAACCCCAACATTATTTCCAAAGGTCATGCCCTAATTCTGCCAAATATTCAAGCACTCGTAAAGGTCTTCCAGATCAAGTACTGTTATGCCACTTCATCTGTGAGAAACGACAACCTCTCTGTTTTATAAAAGCCAAGAGAGACTACAGAAAAACAAGGAAGTTCACGCTCACCAGGACTGCTCATATTTCACTGAAAAGTCAGACCGTACGGAATCACTTCATAGATATACAGAACTGGGACATTTACTCCTAAGGGTAAGATTAACAATATCAAGCACCAGAAGTTGGAGCTCTGCAGTGTCCTCACCTAACCAGAGGATTTGGCAGCAAATTCTGCTGCAGAATCAAGGCTCGTGTGACCTTCCTGTAGCACTTGAAGTGCAAAGGGTATCTGTATGGTAGGTAGGCTTCATTTGCATTTGTATGTAGCCTGAAGAGAGGACCAGGCTTAGATGTCTTGCAACTCTTTCTCATCCGATCCTGATACAGGCTGAAGAAACAAAATCCTCATACCTGGGGTTCTTCAAATATAACATTTATTACCCATGTGTACCCACAGCTAACTAACATTTTCATGGTTTTCAGAATTTAAACCAAACAGTCTACCTTCTTCTTCTTCAGACAGTAAGAAGTAAAGGCAGGCACATAAAGACCACAAATACAGCCAGAGAACATCAGACCAGTCCAAATGTTAATGTTTTCCTTTCAGTCATATGAAGCTGGCAAAACCACCTCAGGATGCAATACAACCTTTGCAAACCACTCCAAGTAGGAAAACTGCCACGCTAGCACTTTCCCCTCTTCCACGTTAATTACCATTCTCACTGGAACAAACTCCTGGAGACAGGAGAGGCATGTCACATCCCACGTCCGTGACGCACCTTGACAAAATACGAATCCCCTCGCCCATCGTTATCCCCTGAGCCAGCACTTCCCGCCGAGGACTCTGCCAGGAGGACAGCAGAGTGCCTCCTGGTGCTTCAGACACCCCCTCAGCTCTGGGAACACGACGGAGAGGATGGGGTGGAAAAACTGTGCAAGTGGCTCAGCGACTGAGTCTCCCACAGCAGCTGGATGTTTAATCGGAAAAGCCCGAAGTGAAACAGTTACAAATCTGATGCCTAAGGTCAAATTTTTGGCATTCTGTGCCGTACTATGCACATAAATACTAACCTATATATGCATGCGTGCTAGGCCCAGTTGTACGTGCAAATAGATAGACATTCAAATAACCTTATGTACATACTGTTACTGCATTTTTATGCAGTTACAATGTGTGTATAACTAAGCATAGCAATGAAAAAATACAATAAATCACACCCTTTCAGCAGCACATCACAGGGCCCCTCTGAAAGGCTGCTGCACAGTTACATCTGAGGCTCAGAACTATAGCTTCCATTTTAGTGAAACGGGAACAGCTCAGAATATTCAAAGGTATTGCTTTATTTTGAATGTTTGCTTACCAAGAAAAATAACCTTTAAAGTATGATTGCATATTTCACAACCAGAGTACATAGAATTCTTTTTTATAACACCAAACTCCGCATCAACATAACTTTTTTAAAAAAAGTTAATATGTATTTAGATTTGTGTTTCAACCTAAGAGAAAAAATGTAAAAGGTCATTGCAAACCATCCTCTCGTTGGAACAGCCAACACAGAGTAGGTTCCTATATATACACACGGAACTTATAAAACATAGAAGGAAATACATATTAAAAAAAAAAAAAAAAGAAAATGATGTTTTGGAGGCCAAGAAGCAGAAGTATAAATCAAAGATTACCAAAAGTCAAGGTAATGTTGACCCTGGAAAGGCTATTAACAATATCAAAACGGAAATAAAAATTTGAGTTATAATGAAATGACACTGGGGTAGTGATGAAATATATTCTAGATATGAGTGAAGAAATAATCATTTCTCAACAAGCAGGATGATGCTGAAAAAGAAGAAAGGCAAATGGGAATTATCTATATAATATAGATATAGAATTAACAGCTGAGTGGAAAGAAAACTGCTGGAGCTTAGCACATTCAGTAGAAAACAGACAATTTCTATCAAATAAACATTATAAGAATCAGCATGTGAATTTAGGTCTGATAACTAGTATTTGTCATACATCTATGAAACTGAAGATGATGCAACATAACTGATAAGCAAATATAGCCCTCAAAAGGCAGAGGAAAAAAAAACCATGTAAACTGGTGAGTTGAGGCCTGTAATCGGATTCCAGTATCATGCAGGGGTTTAGAAGAAATTTTGAAGGGAAGAATAACTAAAGACTTGGAAAATGGGATAAAACGAAACGCAGATGTCATGCCAGACATACCTGACATCCTCCTTTGATTTTTTTAGAAATCTGAAATAAATTGGACCTCATCTATTTGGATCTCTGTAAAGCTTTTAACACTGCTAAATGGGAACTGATAATGAAGAAAACGAGGATGAACACAGAAGCTGTAAGACAAAAGGGGAAACAGTCAGCTGTTGAAAAGAAAACACTTCCTGGGTAAAGATTACTGACCCCACAAGGTGATATAGCCAGGACAATGGCAGATCCAATTGTAGAGCGCACCTGACAAAACCAGGGATACATTGACATTTCTGTACAAACCAGCAGCAAGCTTTAATCTGGCATACCATGTACAGTACAGGTCTCTCACGAACTTAAACTGCAAGAGATGGGCTGTATGCTGGTGAGGAGAATGAAGTGCTCATTGGAGACACCACTAGAAAAAATTAGCTTAATAAATCTAGCAAAAATGAAGGCTGACTGTTGTCTATGTGTGTAAGTGAATGGGGAGAAGGGAAAAGAGAGAACGGAAGAGGAAGAAAGAAGAACTTCTCAAACTGACAACACTGTCACAAGAACAAATATGCAGCCACAAAGACATTTTGGCTAGAAATTCTGAAGTTTATAACCACAAGTAATGTGAGATTCTGCAAAAGCCTGCAACTCAAAGAGGCAAGGTTAAAAAAAAAATAAATCTTTATTTTAAGGATTCAGACTAAAACATTTATGAAAAGGATACGAAGCCATGCCTGGGATGCACTCCATGACCTCTGAAGTCTCTTCAAGTCCAATGGGCATCCTGAGAAGCCCTGCCAACTCATCTTTTACGCTGACAGAACCAACAAGAGTTGGAATAATACATACTAACAATGTCCCTTGATGGTCCATATGCAACTAAGGATCTTTGTGGTCAATAAACCAAGAAAAAGTTGCTGGTTTTCAAATACAGAATTTATAATTTAAGGTCTTGTCATCTCTATCTTCTGGTGAGCACCTGCTCCTCTCCCTAAGACTCCAAGCAGCCACCTGAGCACGTGCACAACACAAGGGGTCTTCCAGGATAACTCAGAAGCAGACAGCTCAGGCAGAACAGGCATTTCTAAAACTCACATATATTTAACTCTATGTCCTGTTCCAAC